AGAAAACTCCTAATCTGCTTTCTATGTCTGTAAAATTGCCTATTCTGGGCATTTCATATAAGTGAAATCATACAATATAGTCCTAGACTGGCTTCTTTCACTTAACATAATGTTTGAAAGGTTCATCTGTGTTGTAACATGTATTTCAATACTTTCTCTCTTAATCTTTAATGACCTTTTTGTCTCCAAAAAAGAAAGTTAATTGTGGATGAAGTGAATTAGCCGAGAGACCTAAATTAACTAATTGTGAGATTTAATTTATGAATGCAAATTCAGGCGGAGGTTACTTATAGGTAATACATTTGGGGTTTATTTTATTCATTATTGAAGTAGAACTAAAGAAAAATAAGAACTCTTTAAGAAAGTTAGGGACTCTCAAAATCCTGATCTGTGTATTCAGTGGTATTTGTATTTTACAAACTGCTCTTTGAATTGAATGTTAAGAGTCATTATTGAAGTGTGGAACTTGGTCAGGCATGGTGGCTCACACTTATAACCCCAATGCTTTGAGAGGCAAAGGAGGGAGGATTGCTTGATGCCAGGAGTTCAAAGTTGCAGTGAGCTGTGATTGTGCCATTGCACACCAGCTTGGGTGATAGAGTAAGATTCTGTCTCCAAAATAAATAAAATGTGGAACTTTTTCCTGAAATCTATTTATACTCACTATGTGATAGCCATTTGGAAAATATCAGTTTTACCTTAGGAAAAGGAAATTAAATTGTTTTTTAAAGAATGCTAGAGAATTGAATAAACTTTAAATCATGTAAACATTTTTTTCAGGGAGGGCTGGGTTATTTTTGAAACATTTATTCAGTTAACAAATGTGGCTGTGCATGGTGGCTCATGCCTGCAATCCCAGCACTTTGAGATATCAAGGCAAGAGGGCTGTCTGAGCCCACAGGTTCAAGACCAGCCTGGGCAACATGGTGAGACCTCGTCTCTACAATAAATCAAAAAATTAGCTGGGCGTGGTGCTTCGTGCTTGTAGTCTCAGCTACTTGGAAGACTAAAGTGAAAGGATCACCTGAGCCCAGCAGGTCAAGAATGCAATGGCCGTGAGTATGCCACTGCATTCCAGCCTAGGCAACAAAATGAGACTCTGACTCAAAAAAAAAAAAAAAGTGGTGTTTGAGTTGCTGCTGTGTGATAGGCACTCTGCAAGAGGATTAAAACGATATCAGAGAAAGTTTCTACTCTCAGGAAATTTATTTGGAAACTTGTTTAGTATTAAATATTCTTAATGAAATATGATGTTAAAAATCAAACTAATGCCAGAAATTATCATGATAAAACAATAAATCTTATGAAATATCAGTGCTTTATTCATTAAAATTTGTTTATTAATGAGAA